AAATTAATTGATAACAATAATAAAGTAGAACAATATTAAAACTTTATGAAGAAGACATTCAATATGCCACACACATTTTGACTAGTCAATCAGGTAAGCAGATAAAGGTAACTAAATAATTGACTGTTAAAAAGACTATTCATCAGCGTCACTTTCTTCAGAATTATCTGAAGGTAGGTCTGGATCATAGTCTTCTGTAATTTCATCTGATGTTAAAAGCTGTTTGTAGAAATCATGATGCTCAGTCGAAACATACTTCAACAGCTTTAACAGATCTTCTTTCTTCTTTACAGTTATGACTGATGTTGCTGGTAATTTGGGCAGCACATTTTTGAGCTGCAGCCCACTCTTCAGGTCTTTCTTCCGTCGCAGAAAGTTCACAGGACTGAAGTGTGCATCTTCGCTGAATGAAGATTTCACAAGTACCTTGAACTGGTTGTTTCTGGAATATTTGAACCAGAATGTGTCGAGGTAATAAAACCTTCCACCTGTTTCATTATTTATTCTTTTGACAAGGGGACCTGTCTTTTCCAGCAAGGCAGCAAAGTTATAGAATTTTTTCTTCATTTCTACAACTCTGAACCGTCCCTCTGGATATTTGTCTATGTCAGTTTTTCCAGCTATGTCCACCAGACTATACCATTCAGATGGTACTTGCAAGGACTCAACTGTCTTCTTAGCTCTCTCTATGACAGAATGTTTGTTGTCGCATTCCAATCTGGTGTGACCTGGCACCAAAAATATGTGGTCAATTGTTTGCAGACTTGGTTTTTCTTGAAGGAGAGTCAAAAACATAGCGGCAACGATACTATTTTTGTTTTGACCTGTGCAGGAGTCTGAGAAGAGACGTATGTGTCTTACTTCTTCAGGTATGTTATACATGCAATGCCTAAATATGCAGGAGGCAATTTCATTGGCCCCTCTTGCACCTTCTCCCTCATGCCACATATAACAGTAAGTGAGTTTTGATGAACAGTCATATATGGTCAAATTGAAAACATATAATTGCCTCTTGTAATCAACTTCACTACATTTCAAAAGTGGAGTTGGAAGGCACTGCTCAAGGTCGAACACTAAAACTCTCAGCGGCAAAAGTTTGTCTAGAAATCCTCTTCAGCGTGTAACCACCTTCTGCTTTACGTAAGTGTAGTTCTTTTTCTTTTTCAAGCTTTCCTTTTTCTTCTTCATTTAATGTTAATTTTATTTTCATGTCCCAGGTGTCACACTTAGCACAGGTGTCTTTGTTTGGTTGCTTGAATTTTAATTTTAAGGATTTGAAAATCCTTCTGTAAGACCAGTAAGAAACTGGCTGATTTACTTTCTCCTTGTAATCCCTATGCATGATTTCTACATTAAGGTGACTTGGCAAGTATAGCTGAGAAGACTGTTTCCTACAAAAGTGTGACACATATTTAGGATACATTGCAATATGGTCTAGAACCGCTTTATTCTTTTCTTCAGTGAGCTTCCTTTTTGGCTTGTGCTTGCCCCGTTTGTCATTTTGTACGGTTCCGGAAGTTGTCATATTATCTACAATTCGACGCACAAATGCATCTGTCTCACCCAAAACGTTTACAAACGTCCCCCTGCAAACTCGTTCTTTCTTCTTATTAATCATGAGGAAATATTTGCAAGTTTTGTTTTTAACAATACCAGTGCCTTTTCTAGGCCTTGATCTTTGTTTAGGTATGGCTTCTACTCTACTTGCAACATACAGTTTTCTTTTTTCGTAAGAACTTTGTTTCCAATACTCAGAAAAAATCACTTTGGCGTCATGTTCACTAACTTTTTCAGAGCAATCATTCACACATCCAGTATGGATAGGTTCTTTAGGAGTTCTTTTATCTGGTATAACTTTGCCCTTAAGAGTTACATACTTCTGTCCACTATTTCTTAATAATTTTCTTTGGTCCTGTGCTGATTTTTGGGTGATAGGGGTGGTGTTATCAGGTTGATCCTCATCATCAGAAGAAATTCCGTTATCCAGTAAGTGGCCATTCCTGGGTTGATGATCCGACCCCTGTTCACTTACAGGATCAGTATCTAGAATGCAGGAATGTACGTTAGTTACATTAGATACTTGTAACAATTGTAGGAAAATTATTGAGGTAGAAAATACCAACCATTGCCACTGCCATTGGTGCCCCTTGAGCTTTCCCGGTCCGAATCTTCATCAGACTTTGAGCTGTCATTATTCTCACCAGAATCACCCTTAGCAGAACAATCATCATCCCCACTGTCACTTAAAATGTCATCTTCATCTTCAAAATCATCCGCTTGAAAAAAGTTAGCTGAAAATAAAAGGTAAAATTAGAGAAGTGTATAAATTCACAGATTAATTTTAAGTTTATTGAACTATATTGCATGGTTTTTAAATGTATTTTTCTAAGAAAATCAAGTTCTGGGAGCAGATATATTTGTATTCCGCACAAAGTTTCCTGCAAATTATCTACACTGAGACCCAATGCTCAACTATGTATCAACTTACTGTATTTAGGCTGCTTAGAAGATGAAGGGGGCCGGAGAGATCGAGAACTTTTAGAGACGGTTCCAGATTTTTCAGTAGATCCACTGGTACTGCCTTTGCTTGTATTTTGATTGGAGGCAGTTCCAGATTTTGGGGTGGATTGACTTTCTCTTCCCTTGTCGGTCTTTTGACTGGAGGCAGTTTTGGTAGATTTTGTGGTAGACCCTCTACTATGTTCTTCTGAGGTTCCTAAAAATTTGGAAAATAAAGTTTTGAACAAAGCAAAGTCCATGAAGTTTGGGAGGGAGGTCCCCTTCAAACACTTACAGCAGCAGAAATTATCTTTACAATACATACTTGGTGTAGATACCAACAACTCCTGCAATGCCTTGTTGTTTTCCTCAATGTTCCTCAAACGAGCTGCCTGGTATGGACTTAAATATGAACTTGCAACAGGTGCAGTTGGATTCATTGTTATTGCTACGTCTGCTGTAAAATTAAAAACACAAACATATCATTTTTAGACAAAATAATTTAAACAGTAACATTCATTAATCCTTCAAATTAATAAATCTACACCAAGTATAACTTCCATGCAAAACTTATTTTACTGTACCTTTTTGTTGAGAATTATGTTTATTTCTCTTGATATGTTCACTATTGTTCTCTTTGTCATAATCATTGCCACATTTTGAAGTTTCCTGATTGCTTTTATCATTTTTCTTGTCCCGATTAGCAAAATTAAGGGATCGCTTGGCTCCCAGTCCCAGCTCGGTTTTGAGTGGAACTTTACTACTAGCCGGACCTGGTTATACAATGGAAAAAGAATTTTATGACAAGGTGAAGTATATTTACTTATCAACCAATCTATTAAGGATGTAAATTTTAACAATATTATTTAGCACTTAATTTAATCCGCAAGCAAAGCAGCTAATGATTCTAATAAATATGAATAAGAATTTGTCTACTATTGTGGTGGGGGACTTTTGACGATTGGTTTGTTTTTCAGACCGATTTGAAGCAATGACTTTCTGCGCAAGAGAGTTAAAAGGCTCGCTTACTTGAAATTGTTGGCGACGGTGTGAATGGCACAATCTGAACAGCATTAGCTGCAGCAGGTGAGGATAGTTCTCCTGATAAAGATTTAACATTATTAGTAACAAACTTCTCTATGGATATCATGCTAGGACAAATTAATAAATGAGATCAAACTCATGAAATATTTTTACCCGCACTTGCTGCTGCTGTCAAGGGTTGTTCGGACATCACACCTTTGGTTGAGTCTGGAAGGAATGATTTGAATTTAACCTTCATTGTAAAGCAAAAACTGTGAGAAATTATAGAATAAAACTATACCTTGCTGTGCAAGCCATTCCTCATTCAAAATTGGAGCCTCTGACTCAGTAAATGAAACTACAGAAACCACATCATCATTCAGACCTGCAAATGAAAAGAATAAGTAAGATAACAATTGAGGTTATCCTGTTTCTTCGTTCAAATTTGGGAAATAGTTAGAAAACATACCTGCCAGCCGAGCAGGATTGCCTGCATCACCATCGTGTCCGACTCTTTGGACAATACGAGGTGGTCTATAACTTGAATTTGCTGCTGTTGACGTTCTGGTGGCAGAAACCGGCCTCTCATAGCCCATCCTCTTCCAAAACCTAGTATTCTCGCCCGGTCCAAACATTTTCGTAACATTTGTTGTCTACTTGTCTAGTCTAGTTCTAAAAAGCAGTGTGAAACGAATCACCACAACTTGAAAGAAAGTCTTTAGTCCAAGACCACCAAATAACAACAATCGACACAGACTACAAAATGCCAGCTTAACCAACACACGAGTAAAATTTACGTAACCAAAACATTAAAAAAAAAACAAAGTAGTTAGCTACCGTAATGGGTGACGATGCTGGAAAAATCCTCCTCTCATTACAACATGAAATGTGGAAACCCAAAGCCACTCTCCGAACTTTTTTTTTTGCCAGACATCAGTTATTCGGTATTGGTGAAGCCAGGCCTGCTACCGTCGCTGTATCCCTTGCCCTTGCCCTCGCCTTCCTCCCTCCTCCTAGCCCCGTTTCCGCGCGAAAATCGACGCGGCGGTCAGTGACCTCTAGGTTGGCAACAAACAACAACACAAGTCGTCAGACATAACCAAACCAAAGGAAGCAAAGCGACATAGTTTTAAAACTAAAAGTTTTTTAACGATTTTGAACGATTTTTTTTGGAGAAACCCGTCAATATGAGTAGTAATATGTTGCAGCACTACAAAAGTCGTTATCTTTTCTATAAGGAACGATACCTTCAAATGGTTAAAATGTTGGAGAGGTCAGTTTTTCTCAATCAATTTATTGGTTATTTTCATTTTATTACGGCCTATGAAAGTGATTAAAACGTTTTCCTTCAATTATTTCGCAGTGTTCGACTTCAGCTTGATGGTATACCTACTGCAGTTACCGATTATTCTCCAACCTCTAGTAAGAACAAAACATTTGTATGCATGGTTCTCAGTGAGCAATCTGTGAATGATATTGCCATCTTCAGTGGACCAGTGACTGGTGCTGAACAAAATCCTACAATCTATTGTAACAACTTCTTTTTCTATTATTTATTTTTTCAGAAACTCCTCCAGTGTCGCCTCCAAATCAGCATTGTGACAGGAGTCCAATACTTGGTAGTAGTGCTCGCAATACTGTGAAAAGGCATTTTTTCAAACCAAAACCAGCAGAACCAAATGAACTGGATAGTTGTGCTAGCACTAATATGGAAAGGAGCCCTATTGTGCACCAGAGGAATACAAGTGACGATGAAATTGACTACTCAATTGTATGTGGCTCCAATAAGTGGGAATTTGAGGAAAAAAGTGCTGAAAGTGGCAACGAATCATCAAACGAGAGGTAACAAGTCTATTCTTTGACTACTCTTTGTAACAGTTTTAATTATTGTATTTTGACAAAGAAATTTCATTTGCAGAAATGACTTTGACACCAGCGACCACCCACTTGCCAACCTCAGAAGACTGCGAGCGGAGAGAGGAAATGAAATGCAAGCAATAAGAACCTGGTTGAGAAAACCCCGAGTCAGTTCTAAAATAAGAGGTGAAAAGAGAAGAGCGCTTCCTGGGCAAAAATGCTACAAATGTAGAGATGTGTTTCTTTTTTATAAATTCTTAAAATTTCAACAGTAAATTCCTTGTAATTACTCTGCTTGTTTATTTTTATGGTTGGTTATTCCTCCTTATTTCTTCTTTCTAGTATTACCAAGCAGCTGGTCTTGATGAGGACGCAAAGAACTTGGTGTCTAGGCACCGATGTACACATGAAAGACCAGATAGTCCAAAAGGTATTCCCCACTTTCCTGTCTATGGACCAGACATAAATTATTTCTTTCCTTTCATACTAACATATCTGCTTTTCTTTTAGGAATGTGGGGCTTAGAGCTTTAAAGACCAACTTGCTGAATTTAATTTTAACTGAATTGCTGCCCTGATATCTAATACAGGCCCTCTTGTCAGAAGAGACAATGACGAAGAAGGTCAGAGGTTTTATTACCGGGAAACATCTTGGTTCCAATATTGCAGGAATAATCAGTTCAAAGTCAATGTAAAATCTTCATTTAATGAGGAAGCTCACTTCAAGAAAGTTAATTTTCTGCGGCGCAAAAGGGACCTGAAGAGCGGACTACAGCTGACAAGTGTTCTGCACAGATTACCTGCCGTAGTACCCATTGCTGAAAAGAAAAAAAATGACCTGTTGAAGTTATTGAAGTTTATTTCGTCTGAGCACCACGCTTTCTACAAGGGGCTTGCTACTTCAAATGACATCAGTGGTGACAAGGATCCAGACTTACCTTCTGATAACTCAGATGAAAGTGATGACAGTCCTGATGAGTAGATTTTTTTCCTGTAAATGAACTTTAAACTTGATTTGTTCCCCTCCATGTAATAATTAGCAGGCTGAACTAGCATTATTGGTCTAGTCATTCTGAGACAAACGAATTTTATTATTACATATTGTGACTGTTATAAATTTTATTCTATATTGTATTTATTGTTTGTATTCTCTATTGATTCTTTATCTCTATTGACTCTTTAATATGAAGTCTAATATGAAGTTCTAAATTAGGGGTACCAATTCCCCCCTAACATTCAGGTTTGACATAATGTATTCCCTATTGACTCTAAAAGATATGAAGTTAATGTACTAAATTAGGGGTATTCCCCCCTAACATACAGCTTTGACATAATTAATTTTTTCCTTTTGTACTAATGTATGAAGAACAACAGGCTGTAACTAATTTTATAAATTGTTGTCACTTATTTGTATTTTCTAACAGTACGTGTTTATTCATTGTATCTTATTTTTGAAATAAGCCTATGAATTATAAAAGACATTACTACTCTACTTAGCCTCTACCCTCTTAATTTTGCATAAAAATTCAAAAATTACATTTAAAAATAAAGTAACATCCGCGTGAACATTCACAGCTTTTTTAGCAATTTCTCAGGGGTTTTATCACATATATTGTACAAAGAGTTTTAAAAACAAAGCAAAAAGGTAAATGCATGATATACTTCTAGTCCTTGAAAATTGAAATTTTCTCAAATTAATCTAGTTAATTTTACCAATCAAGACCAGGGGTACCGCCTACCTTTATTTTAGTACTAACAGTACTCTGAGGGCGCTAAAGGGTGATAGGGGCGAGGTCGTTACCCGCGGTTTGGTAAGGAGAGTAGGGTGGCGACGGGGGGCAGGCCACTCTGATAGAGAGGCTCGGTAAACCTCACGGCCGGGGCGGCGTGGGCGTCGTCGTCGGCGCGGACTCCGTCCGCCGTGCTCCTCGCTCGAGGAGCAGCTGACGCTCTTGTCCTCGGTCGACGTCGACGCTCGCGCGTAGCCGCCCTGGCCCAGGGCGTGGTGGGTTTCGGAGGTGGTGTGCCTGATGGTGCTGTCGTCGGTCGACCTGGACACCACAGGTCCCGCCGTGCTTAGCCCATCCCACTTCATGGGTCGAAATCACGGATTTCGGAG